CGGGGATCCGGGCAGAACTCAGGATATAGTACTTGAGTACATTTGCATTCAAAATAATTCAAAATTCAAAATTGCAAATATCATGGAAGTTGATTGCAATAACGCAGATGCGAGTAGGTAGTTACCAGATTCACCACCAGGTGGCTCGTTCGGGTCAGATAGCATGGCGGGTATAGGAGAAAGTTCCCTTAAACTTAAATCACATCTGTTTTAATGATTCAATTTTCATATAACCCTTATGCATCTAATAGTTATGCAACCTGAAATATGTCCAGTAAAAGAAAATGTTATCTATCCAATACAAGAAAAGATATTTCACTTTTTGTGATTTTGTATCATGGGGTCTATGGGGAATCAACCCGAACAAGAAGTCACATTTTCAAAAAAAATTACATTTTCAAAGTTGATAAACAATTTTCGAAACCATATTTTTAGATGTACTTTTACATGCATATTTCAAATATGACATCACTTTGACTGAATTTTGAATATTTAATGACGTAAATAAAGATTATTTCTACTCGCACCTAGTCTATTATGTTCGATGATCGTCAACATGAAAGAACAATATGTCTGAATAATTAGCTATTAAACATCTTTATCAAAACTTTCCTACACTTTTAAATGTTGATCTTGTCAAAGAGTACTCTCCATCTGAGATTCAGATGTAGATCGAAAATCAAATTGATTTCAAAGGTATTTATAGATGGTTTACATGAGGGGTTCTGTCCATGTGGGTGGTGTATTCCTTTCATAACAAAGAGTTGTTTTGCTTCCGGGGTCCTAAATTATTCAATTTTAAATAGTAACTAATAAGATTAAACAGATCAAAAAGACTCGGGGCACTGCCGTCGCCCCATCATGATCAATACAGGTGACAATAAGCGACACATGTTTCAGCGTCATGATAGTAAACCATGACATCTCAAATCTTCCCAGCCCTTGATTTTTGAGATCTTTCATCCCAGCTCATATTTCATCTAATTGGGGTCATAAAACTTGTGTAACTGTGCCTGTTGCATCCTCGCTGGAAGGGTATTTTACAAGTATAAATGAAGTCCTTTGAACTAGGATGTGCCTGTTGTTAAATACATGTACAATGCCTTACTACATTATGTAATGTATTGACATTAAGGTAGATGATTACATGATAACAATCACACTTATTGACATTCATAACTCTTCCCATCTGATATGCTCAGATCGCAGAATATGCCTCATTATATCAGAGCATGTTTCAGGCGTTTCAGACCCATAGCCAGGATTTGCCAAGGGGTGGGTTACTTTTTTAAGAAATTCCAGGGGGAGTTTACTTTTGGCAATGTTAGTTCAAAAATGAGCAAAATAATTTAAAAGGTGCTCAGTATGGGGTAAAAAATGCAATTTTGGTCACGGAGGGGGGGGGGGTGGGTCGCTAGAACCAATCTATCCCCCCTGTATTCGGGCCTGCATGTGCTATCTACATATTTGACAATTGATAATTTGATTGACACGGTTCAAAGTGGACTTTGTTAATTATTCAAACTGTTTTAATATCTAGGAATATGCGTCCAAGTTAAAATCACTCGAAATCAGGGTAGATAAACCTAAGAAAAACACATTTCGTGTTTTCATTTGATCTTTAACATGATCCTGTAAAAATGTCAGATTTAGCAAAATACATAGGCGATCTCCATCTGCACACATCTACTCATTCCGACTAAGCTATTGCCTATACTTACACGCACACGCATACTTTTAAATTAATTTTATTTTGATAATGATTTAAAAAACACAAATTATTATTAACACGAAATTAAAATGATTGTTATATTCCAATCCTAGTAAAGTATAATTAAGCGCGACTATAGGGCATAACAACATGTGGCCAGTCTAATTATACTGTTTGTTTTGATAAGGCTGTGCAAAGAGATATCAAAACTCTTGACACGCTCTTTACACGCGAGGTCTTTGCACCTCTTGACACGTCTTGGAATCTCTAGATACGCGGAGTTCCTAGACTATCTTTGCACGTCTAGAAATTGCTTGGAATTTCACATTTGACGCAGTGTCAAGATGTAACTTCTAATATATTGGAACCGCCGATTGTCTGGGTATATCGGTAGAACGAGAACATTTTCTCTTTTTCATCGAGAGAGATTCCATCACTTTTCAAAATGGCGGTTGGATTTAAACGGGGAATCCCCCGTTTGGCTGTCCCGGATGTAGCCCGGAAGTACCAATATGGAGGAATTTGACGGTTGAAAAAGGTTAAATGTTACACGCAAATATTGCGATCAAAAACGAAAATGTCTTCGTTCTGCCGATAAACCCAGACAATTGTGGATTCAACTACACGAAAAGAATGCTAACTTACCAAGGAATCTATTGAAGTAGGTATCTGAAGTGTAAGATCAGTAAAAAATTCTCCCATGTTGTAATCGTACAGGCAAATGTATGGGCTCCGTACAGGACCATAGTCCGGGAACGGGATAACGTAACGTCATTACAAAAAGCATTGGACATCTTTGAAGATTTCAGACTAATATCAGGTTTATGTATTAATAGAGAAAAAACAGAGTGTATGTATATTGGAAGTGATCGTCATAATAATGAAATAAACCTTTTTGGTCTGAAATGGGTAAAGATACCAAGTAGACTTTTAGGGATAAAAATATCATATGACACAAATGCAAATAACACGGATAATTTTGAGAGAAAGTTAAATATGCTTGAAAAGGTTCTTATATTGTGGTCAAAGCGAGATCTTACTTTTTATGGAAAGGTACTCATAATTAAGTCCCAGGCAGTGTCGAAGCTAATATACTCGATGACAATGACCAATACGCCTGATGATATCTTGACGAAGGCTCAACGACTAGTCTATTCTTTTTTATGGGGAGGAAAGGGTGAGAAAATTAAGCGAAATACTTTAATAGGGGATTTTGAGGATGGGGGTCTAAGAATGATTAATATGTTCACAATGGAGAAAGCCTTGAAATTAATGTGGTTAAGACGTTTACTTGACACACGAACTAGTCACTGGAAGCTTATTCCTCAAGTTTATTTCAAGCGTCTTGGAGGACTGAGTTTTTTGTTGCAGTGTAATTATGATATTAAAACACTGGCACACAGTGTTCCTTCCTTTTATATGAATTTGCTTCGAAACTATTCAGAATTAAGAAATAGGTCGCCGCCTAGAACCAGTTCAGGGGTTAAAGGTGAAATAATTTGGAATAACAAATCAATTCTAATTAATGATAAGGAGATGATGTACAAACATGTCATGGAAAAGGGGGTCATTTATATTAATGACCTTCTTAACGAGAATGGGGCTTTTTTACAGTACAATGAGTTTAAGACTAAGTATAATATTAATATCAACTTTCTTGAGTATTTTTCAATTATATCGGCTATACCAAATGATTGGAAATTTCTATTGAAATCAGATTTAAGTTCGACCTTTGAACCCAGCATACAGGAAGAACTCGTGTATTTGAAACTTGGTGAAAAACAGGTGACAATCTCTAGTATAACGGTTAAATCAATTCAAACAATATTAAATGGAAACAAGTTCTTGGAACCGTTATATAAAGACAAACATGATCGTGAATTAAAGAGAACCGATTATTTTAAAATGCCTTATATGTGTACGAAACAGAATAAAACGCGACAACTTCAGTTTAAAATACTTCATGGTATCTGCACTACAAATGCCTTTTTAGCGCAGATAGGCATTAAAAATGACTCTAAATGTAACTATTGTGCCTTTCGAGATACGTTAAAACACAAATTCTGGGAGTGCAAAAGAATTCAAATATTTCTGGAAGCAATCAAAGGGAATTTAAAGCGTTTATTTAAAGTTGATTTCGATTTTAACGCCCATGACATGGTTTTTGGAAGGCAAGCTAATAAGAAAAATATTTTACCAAATAGACTTACCCTTGCAATTAAGTACTATATTTTTATTAAAGAGTTCGACGAAGTGAATCCCAATTTGTATGAGGCGCAATTTGAAAAAAATATGTTTTATTATGTACCTGAACTTAGAAGTATGACTGTTGCAAATGTCTGAATGAATGGAGGTGGTGTGAAAAATATCTGAACTGTTCTAATTATTGTACTTGTACTGTTTGAATAGAGAAATAAAAAAAAATAAAAATAAAAAAAAGATTTGACCTTTGACCTAGATAAAAATGTGACTTATAACATCGTGATGTGCACTACTGACTTAACATAGGGATATCATCGTATCCCTAAAATATCATAGATTATGATGATATCCCCATGTTAAGTCAATTTGTCATTGATTTCTGAACCATTGTACTACAAACAAAATAAAGATTCAAATATTGACAGGCTTAAAGTGACTTTCTTAGACTTCAGAGGCCAAAATTGGGGATTTCAACAAATACTTTTCAAGAAAATAGTCTTACCTTTCTATTAGGATGGGTTCAGGTGCCAAAAATAGCTGATCCATGAATATATATCATTTTGGAAATTGGAAGTAAGAATTTTGTTTTTCGAGGCCATGTTTTTTTGACAGTCATGACAGGAAATAGATTCTCAAAATGAAAACTGGATTAACAGCATTAATTCTGAATTTGGCTTGGAATATTTACTCAGATATGTATTCTTATATTATTAGCATTATTATTGACTACTATTTAATAATTGTCGTGTCGAGGAAAAACATTTTTCTGAAATTAAGAATGAATACTAAAAAATGCAGCTTGAAAGTTGAGCTAAGCCTATGGCAGAGTGGTTAGGGAGTCTCAAGGGAGGGAGTTCAAATCCCGGCCATGGCATATCATGTTTTCTTTTTTCTTTTTTTTTCTTTATTTCTGAGCCACAATATTTTCTCTATCTCATTTTTTATAGCACAGTGTCATATTTATTACTTTTTGGGGGTTTTAAAATATAGGTAAAATGTCTATGTGTGGCTTTAACGCTTTCAAATGAAAACTTTTGGTTATAATAGCTCGTGAGCGGAATAACCAAGTCTTATCAGGGTAACTTACTGATGCCTTTGTCAGCCAGACTTCTCGTGCACTCAGAATTGGCTTTAGTGCAGGGTTTGTATGTCTGCCCCATGCCGTAATTGTTCCATTTATCTTTAAACAGATCGGTAACTCCCATTCCATCAGGACATGGCATTCTCTCAAACTTCTTCGCGGATGTACATTCATAATAGTAGCAATCGTCTTGTTCATATTCACTTTCATCATGATCGTATTGGTACTTCAGAGTGTTTGGATTACATTTATCTATAAAAGAAATGCAGGATCTGTTCAACAACTGCAATCACCTGACTCTTCATACTTTAGGAATGAAATAACCAAGCATAGATGGTATGTAGTACCACTTCGCAATTCTACGAAAACGTAGTTCTCTTTCATTTCTACACGTTTCATTATAAAATAAGTACCTCCAAAAAATGAACACCTTAAAAGGGCATTAAGGTCTGTAGAGAGAAAATTCGAAAATTTTTACTTTTTTCTGAGTTGCATACCTATTTCCTTAAAATGTATGGATAACCTATCAATATCAGCATTAAGAAGTGTAAATTCAGTTCAAAGCTTCTATTAAGGGAGTCCCATATGTTTCAAGTTGAATATCAGCTGAAATAATGTTCATCCAGGGGGTTTCTATGCAGATAATAAAAATATATGTTTGTCTTGATGAAATATCAAAACTTAGATATATTTTGACACTGGTCCATGATCGTTGAATGGCCCCTCTGAGGTAACACGCAGTACTAACTCACCGGGGCGTATCGAAACTAAAACGGCCCGCAAAACCGTTAATTTGAATTTCAAACCTACCCTTTCTTTGGAAAATCAATGATTGTGAGTCTCATACTACACCGTTTTTCTTCAAACTTGTACCATTAAAACATTCACAGAAATACCTTTCAGTGGAGACATTGCCTTTGTTTAACAAGGTATTTCTGTGAAGGTTTTAATGGAACAAGTTTGAAGAAAAGCGGTGTAGTGTGAGACTCACAATCATCGATTTTCCAAAGACAGGGAGATTTAAAATTCAAATTAACGGTTTTGCGGAGCGTTTTTCGATACTCCCCGGAGAGTTAGTACCGCGTGAGTTATTGTTGCACCTTTAATTCTCGGATTGTTTACTTGGGGTGAAAGGTGTTCCATGGAATGCTGTTGGGAAATAGGCAAGGTTCAGTAACTGCGTCAACATTCGAAATTCGAATGCTCTTCAATATTTACTGAGAATAGTGCCACAATTGATGTAAACCTCTGTTTTTTTATTTTTCAATATACCTATCAGCAAACATGTATATGATAATTTTGATGTTCTGTAACATATTGGTGAAGTGAAGATATGGCCTGATTTTTTTGATTTTTCCTATGTGCCTGTATACCACTACTTCAAAAGATGTATGCTATTTGTCATTTTTAATCACGCACCAACCATAAATGTATTTTTTCACGTTTAAATTTAGAATGGACTTTCTGTTTTTAAATAATGGCAGATGATACTGCATTTAATTTTTTCATGATATGGAGCAAACACACGCCTGCTAATTTACACTGTAATATCCAACATATTTCAATTGTGTTTTTTGGAATAATCAAGAAAATCCATGTTTTCAAATGGATTCATTCTTGTCAAAGATGTCATTGAGGATATACGGTTTGAAAAAACTAACAACACGTTTCAAGTTCTCATCATTCTTGGCTAGAGCTAATATTTCAAATATTATTTCGAAGTAATCTCCTACTCAATGAACAGTGTTGATATTTTTAAAGTTTTTTCTTCCAAAATACATATTCACGCCTGACCATCAACAAGGTAGAGTCACGTGACAGTGACAAAATATACCGTAGTACACTTTTGATGTACGATGTCATTTCCGTCATTTTAGATCGCCATTTTCTAAAATGAGGAATCGAGGTAAGAACTAGCATTGATTTGATCAATATTGTGTCAGTTCATCATCAGGTAGTTGTTGCATTCGATTTGTAATTAAGTTGCAAATATGCATATCTACTTCAAATGATCCTAAGTAACTTCAATATCTTGCTATAGATCTACCCAGTACGTCAGGGATCTCTAAATCTTGACTGAATTTCGCAAAATTCTCTCTAATTTTTGTTTTGCTATGCAAATAACCGCCAAACTTCGACTAACACAACTTAAGATAAGTATACAAATATACATCCAGAGTTAATGCAAAACCGCCTTTTACTTTGGATGCTACTACCAAAAATAGATAATGTATGTTGTCAACTCGAATGTATGTTGTCACATTGGCCTTACAGATCTCAATTCACAGTTAATTTTACAGTGAATGAAATGCTGTAACATATTTGATAATAAAGTAATAATTTATAATAATAGGCATATCAGATATATTTACTCTTATATTTTGTCCGTTAATCCATAAAATTGTCATTGATATGATTAAATTCCAATGTTACTTATTCTTTTTTTTGTATTCCATAACCCTGGCTTTTGAACTTCTGCACTTTCCAGATATACAGAGTGTCCCAAAGTATGCCCCCCCCCTAGGCAGACATATACCAATTTCTCCATAGTATGTGTCATATATCATTTTTAAGCTTATCCAAAGTTACATTGATTTGCCAAATATGATGGTTCAAATGGTAAAAAGAAACAGGCATTTCAAAAATTAGCGTTTTGCCAAAAAGATAGTTCATTTCAGGATCCTGGAAACAGCCCTGGCCTGAATGTGACAGAAAATATGGATGCTATTCTCGAAGATAATATATGGATATTGAGTTCTAAAAAGATGACGTTTAGGGTAGATACTCCAAGGAAACTCTTCTTATGCCTTAAAAAGGTTTTATGAGGATTACAAAACGCCATATCCCTATTTGAAGCCTGTTTAAGGTCATATATGGAAAGTATTGCTGCTGTTAACACGGCGGCTAAAGAGACATATCGACTATTGTTTTGGTGTAAAACTGACTTTAATTTTGTCCAAACACTAACTTTTGAACTTTTTCCATTTGTGAGTTGAACCATGATACTCGGCAAATTAATGTAACTTTGGATGAGCTTTAAAATGATATATGACTCATACTATGGAGACATTGGTATATGTCTGCAAAGGGGGCCCATAATTTCGGGACACCCTGTAGCATAAATTTTGAAAGTCATCTTGGATTAGCTAGTATAGATCTCTTCATGATCTCCTTAAGATTATTAAAATGCAACTAAACATAACGTTAAGTACCGACGTCGAGTGGTCAAAAAGGTCGGAAGATAACACGCCATGGTCACATAGTCCATGGTATGACTTCCGAATATGAAGGATCCGTAGCACACTATAGCGCAGCAATATTTGAAGCAATATTTATGGAGAAGCATATGTCTTGATTCTTTTAAAATACCATTTGCTAAAAAACTTCCGGTTTTCGGGTCGAAAAATGTCTTTCATCACAAGGGGTCAAAAAACGTAAATATTTTGATTCGAACTTTTATACATTTTGTAAGACTCTGACCGTGATTCTAAGCATACGAACAAAAAATAGATTATTGTGATGTAAAAATATACTTTAATTTTACAGTGGATGTCGGTATTTAATTAGTGTAATTACGCAAGTGTGTTTTTCAGATTTTGTCCGATTTTTCAAATATGAGCCAAGCAGATTAAACAAAAATTGTGTGGAATATTTAGATAATTTATGATTTGGAATATATTAGTTTTCTTACCATTTAAAACATTTCATTACCAGATGTTTTCCATAAAATCGCAAGGGGTCAAACAACAAATTATTGTTCATGTTTTAAAGAACATAATACAATAACAAATAGGTAAGATTTATATCAAATTAAATGTTACAGAGGTATTGGAACAGTGTATGCCCTAAGGATTCCAGAGCTGCTGGTCAAAAAGGCATTACTGACCAGTTGCAATGTTATTTTCCTATACCTAGTGAAAAAATCAACTGGTCAGTATCAAAAGTAACTAGATAATGACCAGCTGTCCGACACTTAAGGCGTGCCCTGTATTGGAATGTTCATATATTCCAAGGGCATGTCTAATAATCAATTAGAGTCATATGCAATCGAACGCCTTGAAATTCTTCCTCGACGTTCCTTGTGGCTATCATCAAGTTTTCTGATGGTTGTTTCTTCTTTGACCTAAGCAGATTTTAGGAAGATAATGATAACCATTTTTCTCAATCATTCAGGAGTTCGACCAAGTCTTGGTGTTTTTTTATAAGCAACTGAGCTATATCTAACTACGAGAAAAATAATTTCCAGCTGTAGTCCCAATTAGTCAAGGAAGAGCAATAGGCTCTCCTTTATTTTTAATGTTCACCGCTGAATAAGAGTCCATATCTCAAAACGTATTGAGACCTATTTTGTGAAAAACTTACATAAATTTAAGCATTTGTAATTCTAATATAAAAGTGATTCATTTGTAGCATTAATCTTATTAATACCTGAGATACAATACAAAACGTCGATGCATTGATTACAAAATGTTTTAGTATTCATAAGAAAAATAACCTCAAACGTATAACTTAGAAACCTTGATCATTTATTTAAAATAGTTTTGTATTATTCTCTGTTGCATTGTGTTCTCGAAATTGTGAAAAATTGGGATTTTATTTTTTGGTAATTTTTTGACCTCCGTTAATGGCAGGCATAATTCACCCTAAAAGCCGGAAGTATATTAAACGGTTATAATAACGATTATTAGGGGACATATGTAGGTATGTTAATGTTAGGTCAAATATCGCTGCGCTATAGTGTGCTACCATCTCCTTTATTAGACGTCCTAAAGATATCATACCATGGACTAACATATTAATCACCATATTAACACTTTCATAAAATAAAATAGCATTCAACGAAAAAATCACTTTTACCTGTTTATCTGTACTAGGGATACAGGAGCATGTTCGTTGAACATCACTTGTTACGCATAAAACCCTTAATGCATTTTGAAATTAAATCATTGCAATGTTTAATATTATAACTCATGAATTTCAATTACAGGGACAACATACACTGTGAGTTGACAACGTACATTTCTAATTTTTTAAATTATACCAAATGCATGAATATTTATCAAATCTTCACCCGTCTTAAACTGTGTAGTTTAGAGAAATACATTCTCATAAAAATATTCGACACTGAGACGTCAGGGGAGAAAATTACCAAAGGAAATATATAAAAAACAACATTTTTCCAACCGAACAGTTGTATGGGTAGACTTACAACGAAAAAAATCGAGCACTGCTCAAAGAATACACGCGAAATC